CGCCACGGTGCAGTGCAGTCCGGCTCTGTGCGCGCCATCGGCAGCGCTTTGAAGCTCGGACCCTAAGGTCAGGGCTCAAACCGCGCGCCTCGTACCGCATGTCACGCGCCGAATCGCACAGACGTGAGAGCGGGCGCCGGTAACGACCTGGAAGTGACATGCACTGACGACAGCTCCCACGGCTGCTGCGATCCAGTTGACCGACGGCGTCTGCGGGATGACCGGGGGCGCACGTGCGCCACCCGCGGCCACTGGCCCCACCCGCTGACGGTGTGTGCGCTCGCCAGCAGGTGGAGACGACCAGTCACGGCACGATGGTGCCGGCCGACCCGGGCACCCTGGTGCCGGGCGACGCCGGCACGCTCGTGGAGCGCGACGTCGCTGACGGCACCCTCGTCTCCGTCACATCCAGTCTCAACACCATGCACATCAACTCGGACCCAGAGGAGGACGAGTCCACAATGAAACGTCAGTCGGGGAGCCGTCGCTGCCGGCGGCGGGGGCGTTTTGTTTTGCGTGGGACGCGGCTGCTAATGCGGAGGTTGATGATTTTGCTTTTTATGTTTTCCTGCCGCGAATGTCAGAAGTTTCCCTGTTAGTCCTTGTTTAGCTAATTAATTGCCTGACTAGTTGGAGTGGCTGATCGACCCGTTCGAACGCGCAACGACCTGCTGTCGCGTCGTGTTTGCGTGCCGAGCTCGTCCGGCTCTGCACTCCCGTGGCCGCCAGCTGAGCCGCTCCCCCGCTCTGCCGCAGGTCACGACACGGGCGACGGCAGCCCCAAGTACCGGCCGCTCTTCCTGGACCACTTCGACAAGAAGGAGGCCGAGCAGCGGGTGAGTGCCGCCGCCCACCGGCGTATCCGCCGGTGCAAACCGGACGCCTGTCGTGACGGGAGCTTGACACGGACGCTACGCTTGCCGCGCCGCCCGGCTGCCCGCCCGCCCGCGTGCCGTCCCGGCCCCGCTTACGCCTGGTCGGCTTGCTTTCAGCGTCTGTTGCAACAGCAGCAGCAGCGGCCGGCGCCGCCGCAGCCGGCGCCGGCGGCGGCCAGGCCGGCCGCGCTGCCGCGGCTGGCCGCCACGCCGCCGGCCGGCCCGTACGCGATGCCGGCGCCGCCGCCGCCGCCGCCGCCTCCTCCGCCTCCGCCTCCGCCGCTGCCGCCGCCCGGCCAGGAGTACCATCCGACGCCGCGACCGCAGCAGCTGGAGTACCTGCACTCGGAGCGCGAGCGCGCCGCCTATCAGGTAGCGTCGGCGGCGGGAGCCGCCGGGACACGCCGGGCTCCGCAGCCGGCCCGTCCGGCGTCGGTGTGCCTCGTGCGCTGTCCGTCTCTCGTGTGTGGTTGGTCGTGCCGCTTGTCCGGACTGGCTGGTGGTCGGCAGCTCGCCGCGCCTCTCAACGCTGCGCCTTCGTTGCTGACGTCCCTTCTGGGATGAATTGGTGTCCACCGTGGAAGCTGAATAGTGTTGATAGTGCTTGCATCAGGTGGAACTTGCGGGGAAACTTGGAACACAGCTGCCTGGCTCAAGCTGACCAACGAATGGATGTCGCCACGTGTGCGGGTTCGCGAACCGACGGCATCCCATCCCATAGAGAGTCAAACATTTCACTCCATAGTCGGGAGCGCCGCGGTGTCTCGTCTGCTCTGGCTGCCCACTGAATACCACCGTTGCGCCACACTGGCGGCCGACCCGGGCGGGCGGCGCCGTGGCTGACGCCACCGGCGGGCCAGTTTCAGCCCGGTCAGGTGCCGTCGCTGGCCTCTCGGCTGCCGGGAGCCGGCCCGTTTCCCGCTGGCCCGTCCGGCCCCGCCCCCGTCCAGCAGATATTCGTCCCGCCGCCGCCTCTGCCCGACCTGGCGCCCAAGCTGGGGCGCAACCAGTTCATGGACACCTCGTTCGAGTTTGTAAGTTGGCTGACGCATGGGCCGGTCGTCGGCGTTGTGGACGTCGTTGTGTTGTGTTGTGGACGGACGGTGAGGAGCGCCGCGACGAGTACATGCCTTACGCCGATGTCTTCATGTTGCACGGGCGTATGTAACGGCAGCTACACCGACCGCGGAATAGATTCCCTCGTTACGATGCGTGACGGCCATGTGTGGCATTGGCAGGCCGGTGACGTTACATGTACGATTCCCAATGTTAGTTCCGTGATGTTTGTCACACCTAGCCACGTATTAATTCCCTACTGTCCGACGTCCCGTGGGTCACTGCCGCTTGCTTGCAGATCCGTTTTATGAGCTACGACCAGCTGCAGACGCGCATGAACAGTCTCGACTCCGAGATGGAGCGCGAGATAGACGACCTGCGGCGCCGGTACATGGCCAAGCGCCAGCCAATCCTCGACGCCATGGACACCAAGCGCAAGCGGCAGCAAAATAGTCAAAACTTTTAGCGGGCCTGCGCCGGCGCGTGCTAGCGAGACTGCAGAGCGGGCCGAGTGCGGCGGTCCCGCCTGTGCCATAGCGGCCCGCCGGCGCCGGCGGCCGCCGGGACGGGCATTACCTGCGCGGCGGGACCGTACTTAGCCGGCCGCCCAGGAGCGCGCGCGAGATCTCCGTCGCGCCGCCCGCGCGCCGTGTTGTGCGCGGCTTCTTGCGGTCGATCCGGGTCTGAGGCGCTGACTGTGTTCGGGTGTTTTAGCGAGTGTGGAGTGGAGCGTTTTACCGCGTACTGCCGCCCCTAGTGCAAATGAGTGTGTCGGTGTGCCGCGGTGCAGCGACTGGCGGTGTCAGCGGGCCGCGTGTTTAACCTATCATGAGCGTTTTATACAACCGCAGGTCAATACACTAACATCAAATACTCGTTCGTGGTCTACAGCAGCTTACAAGTCTGCTCTTGAAAGCGAATTGCTCCCGCGGCTTGAGGCACTCCACGTGCACATGTTGGTTCATCTCTTATAACAGTTAGCGAACTGTTTACTCATCGCCGCGATTCCTTTTCTCCCCGGACAGGGTAGCGAGGTTAAGCATGTTTCAAAATGATCAGGTCTGGACAGTAGCGCCGGGTGAATAGCGGCGTCCAAAACACGTGGCGGCTCTCCTATCCAAGCTGCAGCCATCCGCATCTCAGACCCACAAGGACTAGCGAGACAAGTAACGGTAAATCGATGCCACGTCTCACTCTGCCGATCGGCCAGCGCCGACTCAGCCATGCTGACCGCTGCACCGCTGCGGATAAGGTCTTCAGAACTATATGAATACAGTGGACTGATGCACAGGAGTTATGACGCACCACCCCAGCGTAACGCGCCGGCCGCGTGCGGCAGACGAACTGAAGAGCGTTCAAACTGCAAACTACAGCACGCGACAGGACACAAACTCAAGTTCCAGGCGTCTCCCAATTATCACGCCCGCATGCATACCTCAAATGCGGTGCTTCCGTTCGCAAATCCCTTGAAGATCATCCAATCAGTTGTCAACAAGTACAATTTGGCGCAGCTTAGCAGGAAGGAGCCACCGTGTGCAATAGGACGGCGCTCTTAACTAACGTGTGAAGCTTCGAACAATCGGCATGGAGCAGCCCGCACAAAAGCACAACCCATCGACAACCGGTCCCCACGTTTGACAACCGCAAATCTCCCTTTCGCATGTCCAGCATCAATTCTCGGTGAAAATACGCATCGCTGCCGATCAAAAGCGGAAGACATGCACCTCTGGGGATCCAAGGCGGCCACTGTATTCGGAAGTACCACATCATGTTTCGCTTCCCAATCGACGCTAGAAGACGCACAACAAAAACGCTTGCTCCGTCCAGCGTCCGTATTGTCGCGCGCATGACCGCGCCCCGTGCGCAGTCACTGGGCATCGGGCTCGAGATCTGAGATGTCCGACTCGTCGTCCATGTGGGGCTCGTCGGCGGGCTCGTCGGCGGCCAGCGGCCGCAGCAGGATCTCCAGCTGGCCGCCGCTCGTCCACACGCAGTGCAGCGTCACGCGAAACTCGGCCTGCTGTTGGCCCAGCAGCTTCTGCGGAGCGTGGGCACGGGAGCTGAGCCTGCTGCCGGCACAGCGGGCCCTGCGGCGCGGGGAGGGGGGGGGGGGGGAGGCGGGGTATACGGAACTCAGCCTGCCCCTGACCTAGCACCAGTGTGGGGGTGGGCTAAGGAAAGCGAGGCTGTTGCTGGCCCGGCACCGTAATTGAAAACTCCGCCTGTTGAGGGCACCGCGGCGTGTGCGGCGCGGGGCGGCTGAAAGAGGGGCCAGCTGCCGGCGGCACAGACAGCCAACGCACCAGAACATCCACAGGGCACCTATAGGCCAGGCCGTTTCACGTCAGCATCAAGCACTTGGTAGCTGAAGTCCGTCAGCGAGAACGAATGAGCACCTCATGCGGGCTGCACAGCGCCATGCACTCAAGGCAGTCACATCGTGTGTTAGCGACGGCGCAACCCTCGCATCAGCTGATCAGTGCCGTACGTTGGTCTTATTGCTATCAGGGCCGCCATGACTGACCAAAACGCGTCCAATACGCACCAGTATCCGGCACTGCTCCGGCTTCAATGCGTCTCCCTCCGTGCAGACCACGTGGTCCTTGACCAGCGTCACCACACCTGCAAAGCGGCGCACGGTCATTAAGCATGGAACCGACACAAGGGGCCACCAACACGGCACTTCGCACTGGCCGATGCTGCGGCCCTCCGGGCGCTGTCGCCACCAGGTGTCGTCCCAAGACAGAAACAGGTCCAACACGACAGGAACAGGTCCAACACGACAGAAACAGGTCCAACACGACAGGAACAGGCCCAACGGAATGCGAAGTCCGAACCGTGCGCACTGCTGTCGATGCTCCGTTAGAGCCCGAGACATCACTGTCGTTGCATTTCGCCTTCCGCCTGCAGACGCATTGCAGTTCTGTGGCTCGGCTGCGTTACCTTGGTCTTGCAAAGTTGTGTGGGAGCTCGCTAAATGAAACAGACTGAGTGCACGACGCGGCAATATTCTTCGAAAAGTTACTCTATACGCTCGCCGGCGGATGATGCAGCGCGGCAGGCGAGGCAGCAGTTACACAAACTGCCATCAAATTGGTCATAACTTTATAGCTTTCTCATTAAAATAAACCACAAATTATCCCAGATTTCTCATTTCTCATTAAAATGCGCTAATTCCGACGGATCTCTCGCATAAACTCCGGCAATCTCCACCGCATATGCCACTGAAAGGGAGGGGGGGGGGGGGGAGGGGGGGAGGCACTTTTACGTTCTAGGCCCCGAACCGTCCTGTTGTTATCGTTTGTTGTCCAGAACACAAAAGTGGGTACTTTTCACCATTCAGTGGTACATTCCATAACATGACACATGAATGAATATTGTCACGTGCCTCAATCGATCCATTTCACCAATCAAGCTACCGTCCACCCTTGCAAGACCACGCTAACGCAGCGAAGATCAGGGATGTTGGGGTGGGGGGGGGGGGGGGCGCTGACAGAAGACGAAATCCAACAGCAGGAGAGTCACCGGTTCTGAGGCACAACCATCCCCAACGTGAGTGCCGTGTCTCCGCCCGTCCCTAGCGATACTTCCTGCGGCATCCTCCTTTCCGCACGCCTCCGGCGCGTTCTCAAAGCCCCAAACCCAGCCCGTGGCCCCTGTCACCCGTGTCACCGCCCGCCTCCCTCGGCCATGGCTCTCCTGGCCCCGGCCGCCGCCGCCGTCACCGCGCCCGGCCGCGACGCACCCTTCTTGAGCGTGGTTGGCAGGCCGAGCTGGCGCAGGTGCGGCTCCAGACTGTGCGGGAATTGGTCCAGCGGGCCCTCGGACAGCTCGACAGTGGCCGTGGCTCGGTTGCCGGAGCGGGCGTACTCGGGGCAGCTGAACTCTCCGAACCACCTGGCGGGCGAGTGGGCGAAGGGCGTGACGGGAGGGCTGAGTCGGGCTCCGACGGACGCCGGCTCCGACGGCCTGGCACGGCTTCCTGGCGCAAAACTACAGCTGCATGGGTTCAGAGCTAATGAAACCGGTCCACACCAGAGTGCAAAGTGAGGCACAGTTGAGATGCTCGCATACTTGGCGCACGTAGCGTATTGGGGAACTAAGACCTAGCGTAAGACTTAACTTCGTATTATGGACATAGCTGCCACGACTGTTGTGGCTTCGCCTCGGCGGTGATTGTGCTGGGTTCCGTGAAACGCTCACGCAACACGCAATGCGAATGCACACGAGTTATCAAGTCAGGATCAGTAGTTCAATGAGTTGCCGCTCACGTCATTCACAATACCCCATCCTACGCAGACAAGTCAATTACAGAAAACAAAACAAAAACAAATAACCCAAGAAGTTGAAAAAATGCAGACGACTGGAATGGCTGACTTACTCGAAGACCTCTTCCTTGGTCTTGTTGGTAAAAAGAAGGCCACACTGGCCAACCAGATGTTCTGACACCTTGTGCAGGTTTTTCCTGTGCTCGGTCTCCTCCGTCTTGCCGAGCGCATGTGCCATCACTTTGTTCTTTCCAAAAAAGAATCTAGAACAGTACGCATTGACATATCGTCATCATCATTGAAATCGGCAAATCGGTGACCAACAAGGCGAAAACTAAGCATTCAAAAACTTTGGAACAACATACATTTTTAAATAAAAGGGAGCGCGACGCACGGCGCCACGCCCATCTTATCGAGCTCCAGCGACTGCATGGGCCACATTAGCTTTCGGAGGATATATATATATATATATATATATATATATATATATATATATATATATATATATATACGTATACATATACACTCTTAAGGACGTTGCGATACGCTCTAAAAAGCACACATCACTACGTGAGGGCACACTGCCTCCCACATGGCCCAAGTTCAGCTGCACAAAGCTCTGCAGTTCAGCATTCCACCGCGACAGGATCAGTAAAACGTCCCACTGACATACCGGCTATGCTTCCACTCAGCGCGGAGGTCCTTCCACCGCTCGTTCCTCATATTCTGAACAGAGAAGACGAAGAGGCGAGCATATTCGTCCACACACTGCCGGACATCGTCGATCAGCTTTGCCTTCGTATCCGCCCCCTTGCGGCTAGTGGTCTTGGTCAGGGCAACTGTAACAGGCCAATGACACGCAGTTAGATACCACGTACACACCACCTGCCCTTGACCTGGACGTTGTATCCCACATCGCACATCTTAAGCGCCAACTTACGCACAACAATAACAATGTTGCGACGTGTGTTGCTGTGCGATAACATAACACTGAGATACCCCGTGTAGTGGCGATGCTCGAGCGAAGCAGCGTGGCAAGCAAGGTTAGACACCACGCAGCACGTTCCGGTCCAATCAGGGCAGAGCGAGTGACGATTTGTTGACGATTTCGCTGATTTGGCCTGTCACGTGACCCGATCCCGCAGTCTGTAACGACAGTAAGGACTAGGCGAACTCCCTTGACAGTCAGTTAAGTCATGCACGTGATGTCCCTGAACACGGCCGCCTGCCATGGCGGTAAAACGTCTATCGCTCACACGGAACGATTTTTGTGCACTTTTGCCCATTAATCGACCCTAATTCCCAACTGCAATTGCCACCCGACCCGCAAGAACCGGTGGCTAAAGACGACAAAAAGACGATTGCCAAAACACAAGGCGATTGCCTCTTCTAAGGCTTAATGTTCGTACAGTTCGGCGACGGGGTGGTATTGGGGATTTGGACCACCGATCCCCGAACACTTCAGGCTGTATCCACCTTTCAAGCTGCCTCCTGCAACACTGAGAGGTGTGGCGGTCTGTCCAAACAGCTACCGACTACAGCCGGCTGCGACGGACCGTCCGACACCATCGCAGACTGCCACGCAGTCTTGGTATCCAGTCTTATAATAATAGCGATTTGCGCGTTATGTCTTAACGACTGACAGGGCCATATCGAGACGGACGCCCCCCCCCCCCCATATTTGGGTGGCAGGTGGAGTGCAGTGGTGGCATAGCGGGGACCCCAACCCAAGACCAATAGGCCCACAGTCGAGCGCCCTAACCGCTATACCGCCACCGCCCCTAGTCTGCAACCTTGCGATATGGTACAACCCGCCACCAACGCCGACGGCGGCGTCCGACCTGAGACATCACGAACTGTGAGGACCGAGTCGGCACCGCCGCCGCCCGTGATAGCTGATCCGTCGCTGCCGCCGCCCGTGACAGCTGATCCGTCGCTGCCGCCGCCCGTGATGGCTGATCCGTCGCTGCCGCCGCCCGTGATGGCTGATCCGTCGCTGCCGCCGCCCGTGATGACTGATCCGTCGCTGCCGCCGCCCGTGATGGCTGATCCGTCGCTGCCGCCGCCCGTGATGGCTGATCCGTCGCTGCCGCCGCCCGTGATGGCTGATCCGTCGCTGCCGCCGCCCGTGATGGCTGATCCGTCGCTGCCGCCGCCCGTGATGGCTGATCCGTCGCTGCGCCGGGCTGATCCCCGCCCGTGATGGCTGATCCACCACTTCCGCCGCCCGTGATGGCTGATCCACCACTTCCGCCCCCTCCCCCCCGTGATGGCTGATCCATCACTACCGCCGCCCGTGATGGCTGATCCGTCACCACTGCCGTCCGTGATGGCTGATCCATCACTGCCGCCGCCCGTGATGGCTGATCCATCACCACTCGCCCGTGATGGCTGATCCATCACTACCGCCGCTCGTGATGGTTGATCCATCACTTCCGCCACCCGTGATGGCTGATCCACCACTACCGCCGCCCGTGATGGTTGGTCCTTCACTACCGCCGCCCGTGATGGCTGATCCATCACTACCTCCGCCCGTGATGGCTGATCCATCACTACAGCCACTCATGATGGATGGTTCATCACCACTGCCCGGTGAGATGGCCAGGTCATCACCAAAGCCATCTCTGGCGGCTAGTGACACACCAACAGCTGCGGTAGCTGGTTGTCCGTGACACTGACGGGACAGCACCACGGCCGCCGACCATGACACTGGCATGGCACTACTACTGTCTTTGAGGACTGATATTTCACACGTCTTGCCGCCTACCAGAGTGGCCGACTTGTCAGCCTGCGGTCAACATGTCCATGCTACCAATGCCACCTCTAATTATCCGCCCATGACCAGTCACAATGGGGCCACTTTTGTTGATTGTCATCTCTGCCAACAGTGATGACCAGAATGTCACCACTGCCAATTGTGACAGCTGGGATGTCATTGCCGCAAACTGCGATGGCTGTCACATTACTACCAACAGTTGCAGCTGGAATCTTCTGCTGTGGCAGGAGATAAGTCTCATTCCCATCCTAACTGAACTTGCTTACAGTTTCTTTAGGGGCATGTGTGCTTGAAATTGTTAAAAATTTTGCCAGAAATGCAACCATTTTTTCTATTAATGACTGTTTTCATTACATGATCCACAGCATACCCAGCATTCCTTGCTTTAACCAACACCTACAATATGCATTTGTACACTAACCTCCTACCTGGGCAAGGTCAACCAGCATTATCCATACTAACTCCAAGTAATGGTTCCTGCCTGAACAGCTATGGCATTGGATGGACAAAATCAGACCACAGTTAGCAGAACTGCACATTTTTGTCCCTTTTTGCTCTGTATTAATATCAAGTAATCCCCTTGGCCAGAATTGGAAAACACTTAATGCTACCTGAACAACATGACATAAATCCCAGGGGCCCAGGTGTTGCATACTGCTGCAATTATCAAGAAATTATGAAGGTGTTACAGCAGTTTCACATAAAATTTCCCCACCATTTTCCAGGCAAAAATTGTTTCAAAAAATATAATATGTTTCATAAAAAACTTCATATAATTTGTTCTGAGAGCTGCAGAGATCACAGGATTCCTTGACAGTAATCTGGCCAGACAGCAAAGATACACATTATACTAAACATATCTGGTAGAGCAGTGACACCCAACAATAACCTTAGAGTATGTACACCATGCATACAAGTGCTCTGAGTTACGTGTCATTAATTGCAGCACAAAAAGACAACACTTCAAAGAATTATTTGCTGTGAAGTTAATTCCAAGCAGGCTTTCCCCAAAAGCATCTAAAAAAGAATGTTAAAAATCTGACCCAGGTGGGCATATTCTTATCGTATTCTCTGAACTGTCCAGTGCCTGTAAAGCATGCAGGTAAGTTTGTAATATAACCTGACCTAACCCAACCTACTCCAATGCCTTCCCCTACTCCCACTCCTACTCTCTCCTTGTCCTGCTTATTGTAACACTTATTATTCCCAACCTAATCTCCCTACAGCCCATCATTCACAACAATATGTGGGGAAATATCCTACAGTGATGTCATGGTTACACCACATTAAGATGGCATAGGTAGTTGCTGCACCCAATCAGCAACCAACACCTGAAGCTACACATTGAACAAGCAAATGTCCAGCAGGATGGCCTCAAAGGGTCAGTATGTGCTATCAGTATTACAGACCAACATCTGTGTTATATTATCATTTATCTATTTTAAAAGTGAGATGATAAGATATCCCTAAAATTTCCCTGTTTTATGATTAGGTTTAACATTTGATGACACAAAAACATCCATTAATGTACAATGCATTTTTACAGCACAAGGAAAAGTGCCAAAAATGACTGAAAATTCAGCTAAATTTGACCTGGCCAGAGTTTAACACAAACAGGAGTTTCAGTACATTGGTGTTATGAAGCCGCCTGGTGCAGAGGGCAAATTTTTGGCGAAATCGCCATCTGATAAATGGTATGGAAGTGAAACCTCTAGGAACTTCAGCATATTATAAGAGCAAAACCTCAGAACAGAACATGCTGAATGACACAACTTGCAGAAATACAATGGTAACCAAGTCAAGACGCTCACCCGTTCTATCTCTTCTTGACTTCGGCATGTTGACAAAATAACAAAGCTCAAGCCTCCAAAACTGGAAAACTACGGAAAACTGAGCGACAGTTGATTGCTTGAAATACAATCGCCGATGTGATAACCCTCACAAACCTAGAGCCCGTTACACACATCCCGCGTTCTCATCTACACGCGGTGTTCTTTACATTGACATAGGGTGTCACAGATGCGCCGTTACTGAGTACCGTTACAAAACGTGGAGCTGCCAGTTTAGCTACCAAATTCATTGTAGGAAGGATATTTCTAAAAGTAGTAAAATCGTAAAACCGTCTTCACTGATGTCAATGCAATTCGACAATGTCAATGAACACTCATGATTGTCTGCAGTTATTTGTGATGGTTGAGGCTCTGTCGAACTAAATTTCATTAAATGCTTCCGATTGGAAGGGGTCACGTGGACACCAAACGCAAAATGTGGACGTCTCAAAATATCCGTAACGTCATAACGACGTCTCTGAAATCCTTTTATTCCACTGGCCATGCAACGATCAAGGCCAATAAGAATATAATTGTTCATTCGTTCATACCCGGCGTTTGCGAGCATGGTTTCCAGATATAACGGCCGTCAACTGGCTCCCAATCAATGTCGTGCAAGGTAAAATGATGCAATCAAACAATGGCACACTGAGAGGCA